TCAATACTCAAGTTACACTACTGTATTATTCTGGTTAAACAGTGACATGTATTTACATTTTAAATAATATTAAACATTTTTAAACATAAATGCTGATTAGTGATTGGTACAGATTGTATATTTTCTAAATAAAAATTTAAAAAATATATAAAATTGCCTTCAAAATCTTAGTAATATCACTGACTACATTATGAATTATATTTCATATACTATGTTTGTATGATGGCGTTAAAACGGTTTTAAATTCTTAAACTACTTAGTGCAAGTATTTTAACTTTTAAAAAGGTTTATTATAAAGTAAATTGTTTTAACGCCATCATATAAACATAGTAAGTTGTAAAAACGGTTTAAAAAATATAAACTGTTTTAAAAGTTAAAATACTTACACTATGCAGTTTAAGAATATAAAACTGTTTTAACGCCATCATATAAATGTAGAAATATTATAAACCAAGTTCCTATGTCGTGCATTTAGTGGTGTATAGTATAAGATCTAAGGTTAGTGGTTACTGATGTGTGCTCCAGCTAGCTTTAGTACTAGTTAGTAGAATGCATAGATAAAGATTATTCACTAGATTGCTAACTGTTATAYCTGTGAAAATTAGTTAGGGTATKTATTTAGGTATTGTTAATTACAAATGAGTATATATTTTATTATTATAAACATTTTTTTTCTTGAATGGTAGGTAATATACAATAGACAATAATAATTAATAGTGCATAGTGGCTAGAATGTCCTGTAAAAATCTACGATTCTCACAGAAATGTTCGATATTGATTTCAATATTTCACCTATTACCACGAGTTAACAATCCAGTTTACTATTTATACCTGTGGTACAGCAGAGGCGTCATCTGGAGTAAAGTMATGGGGTGGCAACAGTGGAAAATTAGAGGGGGAGAGCTRATGAGCTTTACCCCTCCACCATTGACCATATAAAATCTAAAAAAGCTTTTCAACATTAAATTAATTAAGACAACATTAAACTAATTAATCAATAAATTAGTCGTTACTGTTTTTTCTGTTGTTGAACTAGATTTTTTAAAACAGTAGTAATAAATGAATATTATACTTGTAGTGATTTTCTGAATAAAATTATATTTTTTTTCATACATTTTTCGTTCTTCATGCCGGTTCATTGAGTAGCATAACTATTAATTTGCTACTCCAATAAAAATGGTAGGGTAGAATTACTTACTACTTCTTGCAACCATGTAATAATGCCTTTGTGGTACATAATATAATAATTTATATTATGATTTAAATATTTAATGATAGAACATATAAATATAATAGATGTAGGTGATACTAGTACAGTGTACAAATTATTAATATAGWCTAAACCACTATCAGCAAATCTGAAACCAATAACCCATACGTATATATTATAATATTAAGGCTATGAAAAAAAATTGTGTTGTTTTAGTAATATATAATATTTGAAAAATATCAAATACACCAATGCATGACTTACTAACGCTTTGGGAATTCTCGTATGTTTATTTTGCGAATATTACTATAAATTATAATAGATATGTCTTAATCTCACTCTGTTCACTTTTCTTCTCTTTCTAATTGTAAATTTTTTTTTTATGTTTTGATTTAAAACTGTTACTGGGCTTTGCCCGTTTGAATTAATTAAWTAAATAAATAAATAAATATAGCCAWATAATCATATAGGTACATAGATATTTATGATTATAAACTATTAGTTATTTAAAAATCTTAATTAAAAAAAACATATATAATTGAATAAAACATGATACTAGCTGTGATTGTTGTAATGATATTATTACATGTTAAAATATAGATAGATAGATACTAATTAGTAAGTCGTTATTATCGTTTATTAGACAAAAGTTGAACATATTATACAGTTTAATTTTAATATAATAAAAGTTTAGATTTTATTCAAAACTCCTTTTTATTATAGCTTATGTGTGCTTTTGTCTTTAAAACAAATGTAAAGTTTGGGTTTTTATTTTATTTGTTTACATAAAGTTTATTTTATGTATTTATAAAACAGTAGAAACATGATACCTATATAGGTTCCTACCTAGTAAATACCTACGTTCTACATATATTTAAAAATTGTTTTTAGGTCAACCAACATATTCACAGAAAAATTGTTGATTTTTATAGCTGCGCGAGTGTTTCTATGCATTTGTAGGAAATAGGAATACTTCTTATAATATAAGACTTATATTATGGTTAATACATGAATACATATATTTTCGAGTTTGATTCAAAGTATGAACTTAATCAGATCGGTTACAYCGTAAAAACAATACAAATAAAGTCAAATGTATAAACGCGTGGTGCAGGGTGGGCGTGTAAATAGAAAAAAAAACCATATATTGTTTATTGTCCGGTAAACATTGAGTACCGCGGATGCCAAAAAAAATGAAAAAAAAAACGGTTGACGCGCGGCCGCGCACGCACGGTCGGGTGTTATTTTTAAACACAAATATATAATATTATGATAATATTCTGTAATATAGTTGAAAATGTAGAACTTGGCGCGCGCGCGACTCGGTGCCCAGATCGAGGACCGCGGCTGCCGCCGATACGRACGCGGCGCGGCCCCATCGCGGTCGTTGTCGCCGTCGTGCGTGGCGCGCGAAAAGGGTTAGTTTGTCGTCGTCGGCTTTGATTTTATTATTTTGGCGCACGCTGACCATCTGCCATCATCTGCGGCGGCCACCGCCGTATCACAGTCGGCCACCGTCGCGCGGCCCAAGGTCGCCGCCACGTCATTTACGTATTTTCGCCTCCTCCGCGTCCGCGCCCACGACTTTTTCCCACCACGGCCGGCAGGCGGATGACTGCCCGACGACGCCGCCACCGCCGTGGCCGACCCGTTGCGGCGGTGTCACGTTTCCGAGAAGCGTTTCGCTCGTGCATTATTCCACTGCAGCAGCAGCAGCAGCTCTCGTCGTCGCCGCCGCTGCCGACCGTGATTAGTGAAACGATCGCGTTCAGCGCCGCGCTGTTTCGACGTATTAATAATAATAATAATAATATCATCACCGCGTGTGACGCCGGAAGTACGGCGATCGCGGGTTCCGTCGGTTATTATGCGTTGTGGTCGCGATGGAACAAGTGGTCGCGCTCGTTTACAACAACGGCCCGGAACAGCAACAACCTGCAAGTCCCGTTGTTCCGCCGCCGCCGCAGCAGCAGCAGCCGAGGACGGCGGAAGAAGAAGACGGMGAGGACCGCAGCGGRGCCGCGTTCTTCTGTAACACCGAGTATAGGTCAGTGCGTTTATATGTAATGCGATAAGTATGATATAACGCGTTTCAAGTGTTAAGGGTTTAGTGTCCAACGTGACCGAAGACCAAGTGACCCGCAATACTAACCTGACTAACTTGCGATGACTTGCGGTGGRTCTCGCCGATCTGATGGTTCGACGAGTCACGAGTTCATCGACTGTTGTATTTTACTTAGGTGTGTAAGGCATATAACTTTCAGCTTATCTACTGATCTTGTAGTTRGGCCTCAGACATTTTAAAATCATAGTATGGTATTATTGTAATATGTGGTGGACGATTTTAAAAACTAATTCAGCTTTGCAGAGCCGAAAGAAAACAGATTATTGGCACCATATGCAGCTACACAGACGCAGGTGTTGTATGGCGTACGCTCTTATATCTACTCATTTTATGTAAGGTTACGATCGTACGAATACCGTGACGACAACGACTTCCCTATCTTATATGTTGTGATATAATTTGTTTAAAAAACGGGTTTGAAACACTATTTAAAATATTAATAGTAATATAATAATAAATTAGTAGATTAGTTTAACATTCTCAAAAACTATAATATTAATTATATTACATTGATTTTTTAAAATTATATTTGCATCGTGTTAGAAGACCACAGGGAACAAGTCGTCGGCAGCCACGAAGTTTTTGATGTGTATTCTGACGTAGTCACCGATATAATTCACGACTTTCTGATCGTCCCACGCCGTATGTTAACCGCCGCGCAGGCTGGTCATTCGAACACACACATGTATATGTTACGTATATGATATATGTATATGCAATGCTACATTGCTACAATATTATAATAGTGTGTTTCTACATTTTTCCACTTTACGCCTCCACCCATATATACTTGATAAAACTGCGAAATTTTTAAATACTAATTTCAATAAAATAAAAGTGTACCTAATTATATTATCCTTCGAACTGCTCAACAGTTAGGGATGCATACCTACGCATATTTCTATAACCTGATATAAATTAAAACCAATAAAACCATGTGATTATATGTATTATATATTCTTATAGGATATGTGGTTACATAGAATAAGCGTTAAAAGTGATGAAATGACACGTAATTTGTGCCAGAATTTATAAGACATATTATAGGCACCAATCTAATATGTTTTCTTATGGGACTTGTTACACCAATTTAATATGGTAGAAAATTATACTAYTATTTTTATAAAGGATATTAGTTTTACATATTGTTATGGTCCCACCGGGTTGATCTGTTGACTCCAGGTACRTTCGTTAGGTTCGTCAATTCGGAAGTCTCTCAAAAAGGAAGATGAGATGTGATAATCATAGGCGTGCGCAGGATTTTGTGTCGGGTGCAGCATACATTTTTAACCGGCTTCAATGAACAATAAGCAGCCCACTTATTTCCTTAATATAACCCCTTCCCTCCCCCGAATTCGCTGCCCTGGTTGGATGGTTAATGCGCTATTGTCATTGTTGACTGTTGTTGTGTCTGTGTCTGTAATCTAACGTACGTCGAATTTCTCCAATATTACCCATCTATTTTTAGACTTGTATTGATAAAATAATATTATTATTTTTCATTTGAATAACACTGAACATATTATTTTATATTTTAAAATTATTTATTGAAGACAAAATTTACTACACACTATCTTTAACGGACGCAGACATACATCGACTGACTCGTCCGGAACAGTCTTACATTGTACGCACGTCGAATGTCGAATCAGCGTTCGTTCCCCACATTATTAATTGTTCATGTAGTAATAAATAATAATATTATAATGCTAAATTATATACTAATAATAATAATCGGGGTTCATAACAATATCTTAACGAATGAAATCATCGTGCATGTTATCATATACCTAGCCATAAGGGTTCAAATATTTAATTCAGATATGTGTTTTGGTTAACTAATAATATACCTTGGATGCCTATATATAAGAGATTAAGAAACATAAATACATGTATAATAGTGTACTTGTCTTAAAAACGACATAAACTCTTAAATTGTTAAACATGTGRAAATGTATWAAAGTATTTGAAACACTTTTACATAAACACGTTAACCTAACTCATAAGATTATACTTTATATATTGTTAGAATAATTATATGTTGTTGCTTCATGAGTCATTGTAGAACGGAGAAAAATTGCAAATTTAAATACGTAGGTGTTTATAGTGTTTGTACATGAATAATTAATGCTATTTTGATAAAAATA